TCTTACCCTAATTGCAGCTTGTATTCCCGGGCCGTGCATACACCTGTCTCTTTCATTTTCCTGTTCTTACGTGGAACACTCTCAGATCAACACTTAAATCCAAATTTCTTCACTTTCAGTGGAAATAAATATTTGACTACCTCATAATTTCATCTACTGAAGATATTCCCAAGCATTTACCCATTGAAGAGATAAATGTTCTTTTATTATTTTTAAAGATTTAAAATGAGCTCCCATTTCTCTAATGATAAAGGGCAGAGATTGGCAAACTTTCCCGGTAAGGGGTGAGATACTAAATATTTTAGGCTTTGTAGTCCATATGCTTTCTACACTATGTGTCCTTATTTTTTTGTTAACAAAGTTTAGAAATGTAAAACCCTTTTAGCCCAGGCTCTGTGCATTGACAGACCATAGTTTACTGACTCAAAAAGACAACACCACATGTGAGCTAGAAAGCCTTGCACTGTCTCCCTCTGCCCATCCTTCTGCTACATCTCACAGCTCAATTCCTGGCCCTCTGGGTGCTCTGGCCACTGTCCTTCACACGACCTCTAGGGAGCACATCTCAAACTACTTTCCAAGGCCACAGCCATTGAGATACTAGCCTCACCTCCTCGCTGGTTTTCCTTTTGTTCTCAGAAATTTTACCCATTCATCTTTGAGCATACCAGCTGGAAAAGCCTATTTGGAAATGGAATTTCACTCTGTGCTCCCCCCTACACCCCACCAGCTTCCCCACAGCCCTCACACGAGCCCTGGGAGCCAGTCCCCCACGTGGGCGGTGGCAGAGTGAGGTTCGATCATTGGCATTCGTTTCAAGAACCTACCGTAACATGTTAGTGTTCTAATATGGAAAAAAAAAATGCAGGTAGCTTTCAGATGCATTGACCTGCATCTCCAATACTCAGGTCTCGATGGTTCTCATACGAGCAGGTCCATGTCTACATGGTTTCTTATCCCTCCAGTGGATGGTAGGCTCTCCTCGCTAAAGCTCTAGCTTCCACATCTCTACTTTGATTTGTAGACACATGGTAGCACTGAAAGAGTTGGCAGAGGACCCTAAAGGCAGCCTGATATCCAAGTACCTTGTTACAAACATGTCCCAGCTTCGCCTGTCCAGAATTTATTTGAGGCATCGGGGGCTGAGCTATGTTTCTACTAGGGGACGGGAAGTTGCTGTCCTTGATCTTCATGGCTAATAAGCAAGCCTGTCGCCCTGGAGCAAGAGGTGGGGGACTTAGTCCCGCAGGGATGGAGAGTGGGCGCTCTGCATTCACATCTCCTGGCTCCTTCTCCCGTTAGCTGGGTGAGCCTCGCTGAACCTAGGTTCTCATCTACAAACTGGCAGTTAATCACAGTTATTTCCTGGGACACTGTGAGGATCACATGTGGGTATAAGACCTAAAAAGCCCTTAAAAACAGTGTTTGGCACATTCAAAGTACGCAATAAATGCTGGTTGTTGCATCGTCTGGAAAAAGAGGTGACGATCTTAAAGTGAGACTTTTTCTTTTGAAAATGATGCCCTTTTTGGCCTTGGGATCTGCTGAGGTGGTCTTGCCGAGCCTCAAGTTTCATTGCCTTCCTTGGGTTCCTGAGCCGTGGCCCTGAGGGTTGTGGTCACTGTCTGTGCCTGAGAGCCTTGTGTGCATTTCCCTTAAATTTCACGAAGCCTCAGATTGTGTCATGTGGTCCGAAGCTGTGCCTTTGTGTCCCTTCCCTTCCCAGTGAAAAGGTGTAGAGCCTGAACCCAGCGCACAAAAGGGTCCAGGTAAGGAAAGGTTGTTGAGGAATGGGAAGAGCTCTCCAAACCAGGGAGATGGTGCTCCTCTCTATAAGGAGGACAAGCTGCAGGAAGGTGCTTCCCAGCCCACATGGATGGAGCCAGCCCACAGGGATCGGAGGTGCCCGTGAGGTGAGAGGCTGAGTTCCCTCCTCTGCTCCCTGTCACCTGTCAGCTACGAGCAAACAGGGCAGGGAGGTGGCTTCTTGGCTTGCTGATGCTGGTAGGGCCCATGCCCAGAAGGCTGGCAAGTCCCTAAGTTGGATGGAGCCCTGAGCCACTCCATGCAAACCCTGCCCAACTCAACAGGACTGCCTTCCTGGAGGAAGCTCACACATGGAGCCCGTCCTTACTGCTCCTTATTTGACTGGCCTGGGGGTCAGGAAACAGGAGGCTGGAGGGGTAGGGCTCCATCCAGGGCCATCAGAAGTGGCGTCTGGACACGTCAGTCTTATCCACCCCCTGGGCCTCCTTGCCTGGAATTCTGTGCCTGTCCCTCCTCGCTGCATGTTCATGGGCACCTTCTTTGCGGCTCACCTGTGACTTCACTGATTTTACCCGCCATACCTCCCAAACCCATTAACTCCACACATTGTGTTCCTAATACCTTCATATCCAGAATACTTCGCAGAGTGCCAGTGTCCCCATAATTTAGCCTGTATAAACCTGACTCAGTTGTTCACGGTTCTGACTGCATGGTAGGATCACCTGGATTAAAAAAGAGACAGACAGGTGGAAGGAAGGAACAAAGGGAGAGGGAAAATCAGTGGGCCTGGTGCCTGGCCCCTCTCTGGAGGGAAAGCTGTGGGAGTGGTGTGTGGTCATTGGTTAATTTATAAAGCTCCCCCAGCAATTCTAATGCACGGGTGAGGGTGAAAATCACTGTCAGCAGATGCATTGTAGAAACGTTTACTTAACCTCCCATGTTTGTGTCCCATAACACCGTAGATGCCGTTCTGATGAACACCAGGCATTAGAACCTATGCTGGGCACAACTTGGAATAAATAAGTGTAGCCCCTCTTCAGGACCCTTAAAGCTAAACCCACAAACTGCAAAGGGGCAGTCCTTAACTTTGCAGTTAAACACGGAGAAATGATAAATATTGCCAAATATGCAAGCGTTCTGGAATCTTGCACGCGTTAACCGTTTGCAGAGAGGTATTAAAATTCAAATTTCCACTGATCCAAGTCACACGTGATGTGCTATTCTGAACCTAGATCACCATACGCAGAATTTACACCGGAAATGATCAGGAACGTGCCCCACAGCCCAACTGCTTCAGAGCCTCTGAGAAGCCCATGCAAGCTAAGGAATCGTTCAAGAAAAACACACATTTGCACACAGTTTCAGGATCCACAAGCCTGCCATGGGCCCCAGGTTAAGAATTCCCAGAGTAGGGAGCTTTCATCACCACGTCAAAGGGAGGAGAGTCAGCTCAAAAGCGACCGTGTTTCTTCCACATCTTGGCCAGGCAAGGGATCTGAAGGAAAAGAGAAAATAAACTTTATAGACAAACCTGGCAGGGTTACCGAATGAGGAAAACTAGATGAAATAAGTAGAGCCCTTTTAAAATTATAGTTGTTTTTATGGCTAGCTCTTGCACAAGGGGAAGGATTTAAATCCATGGAGAGGTTTACAGATGCTTTCCCGGGAGAGGGAAGTCAGGAAGCAGACACACGGGCAGTGCAGTCTCCTGGCGGAGCGAGGATTGCTGGCTTTGCTGGAGGTGAGGGCACCTCGGCGGACACGGGAGGACAGAAGGCCGTGTAGACAGTAGGGTCAGGCTCCTGCTGTGTAGGAGTCCCCATAATGCCTCCGCTGTGGAGTCGAGTTCCTGAGCTCAACGTTGCCTCGTCTGTTCTGTGAGTCTCCGTCTCCCAGTGACCAGGTGGAGGAGGTGGCGCTCAGTACGGCCAAAAGAAGGGCTTGCCGTCTCCTGAACGGGGAGGAAGGGCCAGGGTTCTGGCAAGTTCCCAAACCAGAAAGGTGTGTGCTGACATCCTGATCTCGGGATTCCTCTACCTGTGGAAACTCTGGGTAGAGGCTCCACATAGACAGCGGCCAGCTCCTATCACAACCACCACCTCCTCTTCCTCCTCGTCTCCTCCTCCTCCCTCCTTCTCTTCCTCCCCCCACCCCGCCTCCTTTCCTTAGAGCTCCCCTGATGTCCCAGTATCTCACCTCATCCCTTACTTTGAGAAGAAAGCCCCCTGGGAGCCCCACCATTGTCTCTGAGCTTCTTACTGGGTCTGGTGGTGTGCTAGGCATGTTTTGGTAACTCTGTGTATATGAAAGGCCACACTTTGTAGTCCGGAGCATCAGAAGTCAGCGATCATTTTGCGGTTACGTGACATTTGAATCTTCGAGGACAGATGTGGTAGGTGGGAGTCGCTTTGGCCACTCGGGCCTAAAAAGCCTCTCTCATCGCTGCTTCCTCTGTTCATCCTCACCTGTGTGTGCGTTCTTCGCTTCTGCCCTCAGGAAGGGGCGGCCCCGCATGGGCCTTTCCTCCCCCCACGATATAGAAGAGCAGGCATTTCGTGAAAGGGGCCTGTGAAGAGGCAGAAGAGGGATCCAGCTAATTAAACTAACATAAATCGTTACAAAAATCATCCTGATAATCTCACTTGGCTTTGTTTCCAGATGCATGTTTATAGGAAACACCAGAATGTCCAAAAACTAACCATTGTTACAATGCCTCCTGTCTCCAGGGGACATCTGGCTGCTTTTCTGTGCTTCTCCGCATGCGTCCCATGGCCTCGCTGTCCTGTCCATGCCTCACCTCTGTGTCTCTGCACCACCAGATAGCAAAGCCACATCGCCCTCAGACACCTTTAAAATTCTGTGCATCCAGTTGGAACTGACTATGGCTTTGGAAAATCCAATATAAGCATCATATAGATTTCGGGGAGTGAGGGAAAGAATCCTAATCTCCTAGATGGATAGAGGGGAGGAAAGCGCTTAGGAAATGTGATCAGCGCTTTTCGTAACCATCCACAAGCACCTGCCCTGGGAAGCCGAGCAGCCCACCAAACCGGGGAGAGCTGGTCTCTAAGACCAGCCGGTGCCACGGATCATGTTGAAAATGGTGTGGGGTTATTTTTGATGGTGCATCTCTGAAACGCTCTTTGCAGAGACACACGTAGAGATGACACGTGTTACCCATTGCCTGCCTGCCACGCTCCAGTCACTCAAAGTTGTTCTCTGCTTCTCCTCAGTGTGGATGGACCCTCCTATGAAGTCATGCAGATCGACGTGGAAATAGAGGAGCCCAGTGACCTGCCAGCCACACAGCTTGTCACGTGGCAAGTGGAGTATCCAGGAGATGTCACGTCTGACTTGGGTGTCTCCAAGATCTACGTGAGTCGCAAGGACCTGATCGGCGTCATACCCCTGGCCATGGTAAGAATGTCCCTGACTTGGGTTGTCAATACAGAACCCGAGGGAAAGAAAGGCTCCACGCTGTCACCCAGACTTGGTGGGGAAGTGCCGGTGCACCGGGAACCAGGGTCGGGGGGCACTGGAACCTGAAGTCTACTACAAAGAGCTGAGTCTAAAAAATATATTGTCTCTAAATACTATTTTCAGAATATTATTTAGAAAATCATCAAACTCCAGGTATTAGATTTGGATCTTCCATTATAGGAAGAGTATCGATCATTTAATAACTGTGTTTCTATCATACATTGTAGACTTTAAGGATCTCAAATACATACACCTGCAGAGACCAAATAGATTAAGTATATGAGTGAGTCATGCCAGGTGACATGGCCAGTACCTGCCCAGTCATAAGGCTTCACCTAGTGGGACAGCCATGTCGGAAAGCCAATGTGGAAAGCCACATTCTTGGTTCTTAAGATCTACCGATTTTCCAAGGAAGCCACAAATACAGTTTGAATGTGAAATGTCAACTTGTTTGTGTTGGCAGCTACTTAAAAATAAATGAAACACTATATAGAGGAAAGCGTTACCTATATTCATTCATAGGGCATCTGTTTACAACTTGGAAAAGATTGAAGGCCATTAGTCTGTGTGTGTGTTCTCTAGGATTTGTGAAACGGAGATGGGCTTTCATCTGTGAAGGGCTTCCTAGAGTGCCTGTGTGAAGTCCCGCCATCTATGTTCCCTCAACAAAACACACTGACGCCCCATAGAGCTCTCCCTTTCCTCAGACTCTTCAGTGCAAAGGCTTGGGCATGTTCATCTGCCGACAATAATGTGAGCTTTCTCCTGTTATGAAAGGACTTTTCCTGCCAGAAGTGAAGTATGAGTTGACCTATCTGTTGACTGCCCGGTGTCTCCTCTACACCGTCTGTTAGAAAATATTGACCAGTGTTATTAGAGAGTGCAGAAAGAACCTCAGGAATCAGTCTTTCAATAAAAGGTAGCATGGACAGTTGCCTGGTGACAGCAGGTTAGTTATTATGCCGTTCATCAGGAAATGTAAAGGTGTTTGGGGTACTTCTGTTGATAAGGGCTCCTATTAACAATTTCTTTTATTTTGAAGGCATTGAGCCTCCCTGGGTGCCTCGTTTCACGTGCCTCGTTTCCTTCGGTTAGGCTCTTAGTGAGTGGTTCTATTACTGGGGATGGCAAGACCATTTGTCTTGAATAAGGAATTATTTGAATTTGCTCCTTTTCAGCACCTTTGGTTGGATGAGCTGTTTGCAAGACTGGGAACAGCTTCTGTGGCTTTGCTCAGCATAAGTTAACCTGTTCGATTCCCACACTCTGCATTTCCCCTGCCTCACAGGTCCCTGATGCTCCCGTCGCTTATCCCAAACCCTGCTGGTCTCCTTACCCCGCATGAATCCCCACTCTGACAAGGCACCCCTCCATCCTCCGCTGGTCTCCGACCATTCTCATCTTTCCTCGCCCGTCTAGCTATGATAGATGTAGCACTGTAAGATCGTGTGTTCCCTTTTATCAATTGGGAATTGCATTTGGTTGAAAGCAAGAGAGCTCCTCACTCACCCCGTCTACTTTATCCCAGCCAAGGATGTCTTAAATACATATGTGTTTCTTTTTTCACGTACGGGAGCTCCTAACATTGGTGGTGTAGTTTTGGTATGGTGCCCCGTGCCATCTGAGACCCAGGCTCCATCTCTGTTTCTGCCTCAGCAGTTTGAGGGCATGAATTCCATGCTCATGGTTCCCTTAGGGTCCAAGATGGATGCTGGAGTGCCGACCGACTTAGCCACATTCTGTAGACCAGAAAAAGTAAGAAATGCAGAAGCTCAAAGTAACATGGCCAGTTACTTTTCCCTTTCAAGAAGCAAGGATCCGACATAATATATCTGGTTACATCCATTTGGCAAACACTTAGTCATATGGTTATACTTAGATGAAAGGAAGGCTGGTGCCTCTTTATTTTAGCTCATCGCTTAGACTCTGTTACAAGGAAACAAGAGGAAAATAATTATTTCAAGGCAATGGGAAGATTTATAACAATCCTCCTTCATTTCCATGTAAGGAAGCCGAGGCTCAGAGGGGTCACTCATTTTGTACCTGAGTGTTTTCCATATTCTGTACTGATCTTCAGGAAACTCCTAGGAAGCAAAATCACATAACTGAATCCTAGGCTCCACTCGCGAACTATGCAAGCATGCTTACTTCATGGTGCCTCGCTTCCCCATCTCAAGGAGGAAAAAGAGACAATACATACTCATAGGTTGTTATAAGGATGAAGTGATAACTCAAGAGTGCCTGGGACAGTGTCCAGTCCAGAGCAAACATACAATAAATGGTAGCTATTATTATGTTCATTTAAGCTCTGGATGCAAGGTATAAACAGTAACCTGACAATAATATTGTAGATTAGCCCCCATATTTCACGACCCTGGAACAGTGGTAGACTACGTGTAGGTGCTCACTGATTCTTGAACTGAGTTGAATGAATCTGATTAGAACACGTTTGGTCTGATGAGGTTTACTAGTAATCTTGGAGCAACTTCCTCTGGAACTGAGGGTGAAGTCGTAAGGGTCCCGACTCCCCAATCTTTCATGTTTGGAGTGTTCTGAGACCCCCTTCCCGAGAAGCTTCATTTCACCTTTGACTTGATTGGTAAAAGAATTTTGGCCATTTTTAGGGAGATTGCCCTCATTAAATGAATTTTTTGCAGATTTCATTTTTACTTTGTCTTTGGTCATCATATATTCATTGGGGGATGTTTGGAGGAGATCTGATATCCATGCATCTATTAATCTATTCATCTGTGTCACATGTTCTTGAAATATAAGAGAATTGAAATATTAGAGCAGGAAATCCAGCTCACCAAGACCATGATGGGTGAGGAGAAGGTGCTCTGGGTTGAGGTCATGGTGCCTGAGCACTCGTAAGCTGCGTAAGGGGGTGGATCTTCACGCATGATTGGAAGCCACTGCAAAGGCTCTCGGCAGAGAGTCACATGGACCCATGCTTGTTTTTAGAAGAGCACCCAGCTGTAGGTGGAGAATAGATTTGGGAGAGCAAGAGAGATGTCAGAGAGAGTTAGGGCCTGTCCTTTGGCTGTTGTCAAATAACTCTGACCTAATGAGTGCAGAACTGACTCGTCCATAACCTGTCCTGTAGGAGTGTGCGCAGCCTGGGGCTTATCACATGCCTCCAGGGACTTAGGACGTAGCCTCCCTCTATCCTGTTGCTGAGTGGCCCCAAAGATACTGACCTCATCCCCATGGCCTTGGATTAATAATAACCATGTCCCTGTGGCAGCCAGCAGGCCCAGGCAGATGGGAAGAAGGAGAATGTGCTCCTTTCCCTCCAGGACATGACCTGTCCCTGAATGCAGCACGTTTGCTCCCAGCCCATCAGCCGTGAGCTCAGCCGAGGGACCACCACTAGCTATAGGGGAGGTGGGAGGGTGAGCTTTATCCCTGGAGGCCATGTGTCCCGCTAAAAGTATTTTATGGTGGAAGAAGGAAGGAACACCGATGCCATCCTGGATGGCCCCTCGGGGCTGCGGTAAGAACAGTGGAGAAATGGCGAGGTGCACCCTTTTGGGTACATCTTAGTAAGTAGATAGATGATTGGACTCTCCCATGCAGGGGACATAGGTGTGAAAGAAAGATGGGAGAAAAAAAACCATGAGTTCTAGTTCTAGGCTCATTCAAATGGCTTCCCATATATCTCCCATGATCTACACACAAACCTAAAATGTTTAAGAGATCTTCTATTATGAAGTATCCTATGGCTTCCATTTTTCCACAAAAATCTTTACACACATCTCCGATTGATTCCCATAAACTTTTAAGAATAAATTCAAATCAAAGGATATGAATCAAAGGATATGCAATATTGTAATTTTTTAAATAACAGTCTCCAAACTGCCTTCTGGTAAATTTAACCAATTTAATTCCACCTGCTGTGTATGATGATATCCATTTCCCTTCAAATTTATAAACATAGGATATTAAAATTAAAAAATAGGCTATTAGGCAAAAATTATACATCATTGTTGCTTTAATTTACCCTTTTTTGGTTCCATTTGTAAATTTGCTCTTTTTTAAAGATTTTATTTATTTGAGAGAAAGAGAGAGAGCACAAATGGGGGAAGGGCAGAGGGAGAGAGAGAGGCAGTCTCCATGCTGAGCAGGGAGTGGGGGCTCGATCCCAGGACCCTGAGATCATGACCCGAGCCAAAGGCAGACGTTTAACTGACTGACCACCCAGGTGCCCCCATTTGTAAATTTTCTTATCAAACATTTTTTCTTACCCATTTCCTTTCCCTGTTGGGAATTCCATTTCTTGTTACTTTGTTATAAAAAATCTTTTTTTTTTTTATTGTGGTAAAAACACGTAACATGAAATTTACCATCTTAATCATTTACAACTGTAGAGTTCATTAGTGTTAAATATTTTCACATGATTACACAACCGATCTCCAGAACTTTCTCATCTCACAGCCCTGAAACTCTACCCACTAAACACCAACTCCTCCTCCTACCCACAGCCCAGCCCGTGGATACTACTTTGTCCTTTCTGTTTCTACATATTAGCGATGCTGACCTTTTCTTTTTTTTTTTTTTTTTTTAAGATTTTATTTATTCATTTGAGACACAGAGATACAGAGAGAGAGAGAGCATGAGCAGGGGGAGAGGGGGAGGGAGAAGCAGGCTCCCTGCTGAGCCAGGAGCCAGACGTGGGGCTCGACCCTAGGACCCTGGGATCATGATCCGAGCTGAAGGCATACACTTAACCATCTAAGCCACCCAGGTGCCCCGATGCTGACCTTTCCTTTGGCATGTTATTGCAAATATTCTTCCCAATTTACCGTGTGCTTTCTCATCTCACAGATCATATATTTTACCATGCAGAAGTTTGGGGGTATTTGTTTAATTTTCATGCACTCAAATCCACTGATTTCCATAATGGAAATCTCTCTTCTCCCCCTAATCATGACCAA